AACTACAACGTAATTCCCCTCCCAAATCTGCCTCTGCTTCAATCTCAAGCTTCTCCATCCATACTCCACTGGTTTTGTTGCTAGCCTCAGCTTTAGGCTGGATCACATTCTTGTACGAGAGAAAACTTAAGCTATGTTTGATATGAGAAAACTTAAGTTATGTTTGATACAATTGGTGGAAAAGTCTTTGAGCTCCAATAACTTTCAACTACACCAAACATTATAAAATTCTAAAAAATAATACAACTTCTCACAAAATAATATTTTATTTATTTCATTACAAATCTCAAAATTTATATTTCTACAAAAACTTCTCATTTAAGTTTAATAAAGTTAACATATTATTTTTATTTTATTTTTATTTTTCTTTCTATTTACAAAAACAATACTTTTACAATAATTTTTTTTTACAACAATTACTTTCTAATAGAACTTCTATTAATTGTCCCCTCTTTCTTCTCCTTTTTTTTTGACGATGGATAAAGAATTTTTCCTAAAAAGCATATTTAGCACTATTAGAAACTATAAATTGCTGCAAAAGCAAATGAGACGATCAAAAGAACAAGCCACGTTAACTTAACAAGTCAAGAGTATATAACCTCCAAAAAGGAGCTAAGTCAAAACAAGTGACGCATATCACACTACCAGGGCATCACCTCTGAACTAAATAAAGGCCTCATCCTAGGGCCAATGCTGAACCTGAGTTTTCCCAAAAGGGTTTTTTCATGTCATGTGGCTTGTGCCCGAAACTAAAGCTGTACAAACCGTGTCCATGCACATTGGGGTAACAGGCTGTAAAGCCTCTAGCAAAAGAACATCAAATTGCAAACATTATCCTTCAGCCTAGGCAGCTGAGGGACGGGAACAGGTCCAGGCGCCGTCATCCCACCGTGGCTTGAGGAAGTCTCAGATGACTCTTCAAACTTCATAAATGAACTCATCTGGGTGGCTGCCAAATGGGCATAGCATATTGGGGCAACTGCAGAGAGTAATGAGAAGTTATTGACTAGATTGACAACGTAAATAATCTCATTTCATAATACCCAAAGCAAGATTAGAAAATGGACTACAAACTGTTGTCCTCGTAATGTCTCTCTCAATTTCAAAAGTACTTGATAAACCCAAAAAAAGAAACTTTCAAAAGAAAACAAAACAAGATCAAATGATCATGGGACAGCTGTTTAATGATTGTCATTTATTTAAATAGACCAGCATATTACCAACAGAAATGGCAGTGGTGCTCCTCTGATACCTGCAATAAAATGGTAGTTTGTAAGGATTTAATAGTCTCTAAAGCTTTAAAGATCAAGTAAGCAACTACTCCACTTAACAATATACTTACACATAGGAGAGAGAATGGACAAGTTCTTGCAAGTCATCTGGAGAGAAGCCCACCTCATCCAGTAGCACATGATAATGGGTAGGCCTCGTAGTTCCCTGCATGTAGAACACAAATAACAAAGCTTTAAGATGAGACGAGTTCTTTTCTTATCAATGAAAGATGAGCATATTATATATTGGCACAGGATTAAATACCACAACCAGACACACACAGAGGACAGAGAGAAGCAAAAGGTAGGGACAAAAAGCAAGCCTAAAACTTTTCTAACAGACGAAAGTCAATAATTCTAAACTAAAATGGCCAAAAAGGACAACTACAATCCCATGGTATATATCCACTATTACAACTTTACCATGTGTTTCACTCTACAAAATTAAGCTTGTCTGTCTGCGAAGCAAGAACATGTAAATCATAAATTCATCAACTTCTATTAAAAAAACAAACAAAATCAATACTCACAATCATTCCAGCATGTGCACAGAGATAGAAGTCATTGTTCCGGGGGTGACAAATTTTGTTGTCTATAACCGTTCCTGCAATAAAGCCAATTACCACAAGGGTTAAATCCAGCAGAGTGCAAGAGCTTCCGAGTGGGATCTGCATGAAATCATGAATTATTCCTCACCAGGTGGAACATTATCAGGAGCTCCCTGTTGGAAAAATTTTGTGTGATGGTTCTTCTGGGCAACAATCACCAAAAACTTTGGAGACCAGTTTTCATCCAGGAACTTGCATGCCTAGAAAATTTTACATGAAGTTTCTCACCAGTCACATTAATCACAAGAAGTCCTCTTTATTTTCATGAAAAAAATTATATCATAATTGATAATTTCACTTTCAAACACAATACCTCAATAATTTGATCAAGTTCAACATTAAGAACTTGATTGAATTGTGATTCGCTAACACCATCCCTAAAAATACAAAATAATATGGAAAGGCAAAATCATGTAAAAAGTAGCAAAACAGCCTTAGAAAAACAGAATTCAGTTACAAGACATCATACATGGCAATTTGAATAAAGACTGAAACAGAACAGACTACTTAAAAGAGTGTCTGTATATGTGCAGAATAGCAGAATAAATTTAAACCTGAATATGATTATCTGATCTGGCTTTCTTTTCCCAGAACTTGTGTAGAAATCCAGCAGCAATTCCCTGAAACTCAAAAAAGACCCACATTAGTTAAGCTACAAACAGAATATGCAGTCACAAATTTGGTAATACTGCAATTGTAATTTGCACATGTACACTAAAATAGAAAACCTACCTAACAATGCCCTCATCTTCCTTGTCAGACACTTTCTTGAATAGGGAGTCAATCATTTCAACCTTAGGTGACTGTGTGCGTACAGATGCCCTATAACGGGAAATCAATGGCCACTGCCTTGAGCTGACAACCTACAATGTTTAGCAGGTTTAAAATAATTTCACTCCATGACAAAAGAAGTGAATAATAAATAGTAAGAAATTCAAACAAAACAATACAAAAAGGTTGACAATAAAAAGGAACCATGCCAAATTAGTGAAAAAATAGGTACCGCAGCAATTGATGGTATGTCAGACTGGCCAGGAGAGCCATGTGAGACATCCATTCCAAGAATGATGGTCGGAACTTTGGATATCATTGGCATTGCAGGAGAGCGTTCAATTGACAGCAATGAATTCAGTCCACCAAGCTGCAAGTTGGCAAATTAAAAGAGATTAAGAGGTGAAACAACATAGTAGACAGAAGAATAGATGCTAAGTTTCCCATAAGATTTTTTCTTTTCAACACAGTAGCTGACCTTTGCATTGATCTTCATAAGAACATTTGTGAGATACTGATCATTAACCCTTGTTGGAGCAATACACTGGGTGACTATACCATATTCAGCAAGATTCTTTCGCTTCCATGGACCTTTAGGATTCAATGAAATCAATTTCTTATTATTAGAGTAAGGCTCAAACGTCATAGCAAACAAAGGATTTGATCAGACAGCTCATACCATAAATATCTGAATTTTTTCTCTCAGGAAGTAAGCAAAGGAGGAACTGTGGAGCTCCAGGAAGCCTAGACTGAATCTCATCAAACATTTTCTCCACCCTCACCACAGCTGGGGCCCGCCTAAACTGAGGGTTTTCTTCAAACACATCAAAGGGATCATCTATGTGCTACAAAAGACAGAAACGCCTAAATGTGTCAGTACTTAATTCACTGTATCAGAAAATAAAAATGGTAAAAGGTAGGACTTATACAATTCCTTTCATTTGTCCACATTTGATCAACTCCCGAACTAGGTTACGAGTATCACATCGTGCCGAGAAATTTGCAACAGCCCATCTTTCAATCTTAGTTGGCTCTACTAATTTCTGTGGAAGGGTTTTCCAAACAAGGGCACTTAAGGAGATCAATAATTATCACATATAAGATTCAAATGAAAAAAGAAGGGGGAAAGATAAAAAAACCTTGTTGTTCAAGTTCCATCGCCCATTCCGAGGAGAGAAATCTTCCCCATTGCCAAATTTCAACTGTCAGAAATGGGAAGGAATTTATTTTAAAGCTAAATGTCAGCTAACAACTACGATAATAATCCTAACATATTCAAACACAGATGGAACCAGGAATGTAGAAACCCAGATCAACAATGAATATTTAACTTCATTAAAAAAAAAAACACACTAGGGAATATTTAAGAAATGTACCCTTGGAGCCTGCAGAACACGACCTTCCACTAGAGTAAAGTTAGAACTGATTGAGACCCCACTTGAACGAAGCAACGGCTCAGAATCATAATTGCTGTTTCTCAAAGCCTGCAAGAAATTTAGGGAAGATAAAGCGTAACAAGCAGAATACACTTAAATCAAAAGAAATACAGATTATTATTAGAAAATATGCAAGTCAAAAGCTCAGATGACGCACGTTGGATAGTACACTCATCCTTTCAGGTGGCTTCTGCCTTGACTTCTCCACTAGTGAAGCTCTTTGAAGTGTGTTAAGGGCTTTGGTGTAACGTTGCAGAGACACCAATGAACAGAGCTACAAAATTGCAAAAGGTTCAGAAAAACACTGACAACAATAATTATTCATTGTACAATAATCAGTGAAACAACAAAGCAACAATGAATTCATTACCTCAAGAGGAATATAGGTTGGGCGCTTGGGCTTCCCAACATTAATACATGGCAGATCGGCAGAATATCGCAGATCTATCTTGCGATAGTTAACAAAGTAATCATAAACAGTGACTTCAAGTATCTCGGCTTCACCATTCTCCTTTGCATTTTTTTGCTTCAATTCAAACCTAGAAGCAAAAGAACAAGGAAAAGAAAGGCCCAATTAGAGCATCACCAGAACTTAAAACATGATAAAAGAGATCAAATTTAATATCCTGTACAGCAATGTTAAAGAAAAAAATGACATCTTCAGAAAAGCCTACATTTGTTCTCTGCAGGATTTCTCACTCAATCCAGTAATCTTGTACTCTTGATTTGATGGACTTGCTGTAATCCTTAGATTCTTGAGGATACGTTTAGCCTGTTACCAGGAAAAAGCAATAAAGCTTAAAAAGAAACAAAGATATGCAAGCAACAGAAACAGACAGATTTCAAATACCTTTGCCCAATCAAGTGAATATGGATCCTTAACATTCTGGTTGGCAATCAGAAAATCCACCACAGGACCAGGTTGAATTATCATGGTAGTGGACACATCTGTAAGCAAAAGGGATACAAGAAGTGAGGCAAACAAACTGTGCAAAGGACAACAAGATTATACAAAGGATCACAGATAAACTATCCAACCAATATTCAGAGACAAGCCTCCTTGAGTGGTTCTAAAACTTGAATGGAACCCTCTGCAGCCAAGGACACCACCTCCAATATCCGCAAAGTTCTTTGGATCGTTGTGGAAGAAAGATTGACGAACAAGGAGGCATCCTCTGTGATAGTCCAGACAGATTCAGATTTAGTATCAAACACATCATAAAAAATGAGAACATGTGCACACACAACATGATTTCGCTCACTGTTTAGCTGCATGCTGCCTCAGAATGATATCCAGAACCCTCAAGGCTTCCTGTGAGTTTTCCGACTCCTGGCCACGGAGAGCATTTCCAATAGCCTGCATTGGAATTTTAGCAGCAAAACTTATCTGAACTCTGTAGGTCTTGGATCGGTATGGCCGCCTTAATCTCTTCCTATCATTCTCATTGACACTATCCAAGTGATCTGGGCTTGCATTGCCATTGTTCCTACATCCCAAAACAATTCAACTCAACTGAATTAGATCAAACATGAAAAAACATGTGACCGTATTGGAAATTAAATTGCATGTCAACCTATTTGATGAAATGTCCTCAAGCACAACATCATAGTCAACTTTGTTGCTTGGTAAAGCACCAACAGTGAACAGGCTCTTCTCACCATCGTAAGCAAAGTTTTTACCACCCAACTCACTACTATAAGTCTCATGCACCTTTTCCATAACTTTCCTACCCACACCCTTTCCATCAACAGGGCGGCCATCTTCAAAAGTAATTGCGATCTGTCAAATCAATAACAAAAAAACATAAAAAAAAAACAAGATGAATTTGTCAGCATGTTAAAGATAGAAAAAGGAAACGAGAAGGGAAAACAGAAAAGAAACAACCACGTGAGAGACATACACTATAGTGATAAAAGTGGCCATCAACAGCAGAGACATTCACTTTGAAGTGATTAGTAAGAAGAGGTATCTTTTGCCCCTTGGAACCAAAACCCTTTCTGGGAATAGGGGTGCGCAATGGCTTCTTCTTGAGCTGCTGTGGTTCTGGCTCAGCCCGAATCGGAACAACATTTGGTGACACAGGTGGGGGAGGCGGCAATGTGTCATGTTCCCCATTCCCTTCTGAATCCATACCCTAAAGCAAAGGAAATCACAGAACAAACAGATACAAGTACGGATCCAAGTAAAAAATTGTATGAGGAAATAGAAGGACAACTACTCGAGGGGTTTTAAATTCAACCCAGAAATCTATTTTCAAAATAGTATATATCTAATCGAGAAAAATAATATAAAAGTAATAAATAAAAAATAGAATAAGGTGATTCACCTGAAGATCTAAAAAGAATTTTTTTAAAAAAATATCAAAATAAAATAAAAATAGAAGAAAATAGTTTAAAAGGCTACTGAAGCCAAACAAAAAGTCAAAAACCGCAACTGACGGAACAATTTATTTTTATCTTTGAAAAAAGGGAGAAAATAGGGGAAAGAAAAAAGCAGAAAACTCCTGGTAAAACACAGACTCGAAACGTTTCTGCGAAATCGGAAATCAAAACGAAAAACCCTTAAATATCCTAAATTATGAGTTTGGGTTTTTTCATATGGCTGAAAAAAACCGACATGCAGTAAAAGAATAGTAAGATAACAGAGCTAATTACCTAAGTAAAGAGCTAATGCTTGCGAACAGCTGCAACAGAAAAAAAGCAGAAAAATATAGAAATAAGCACAGATCAAAATAAATAGTAAGAGAACTGGAGATATATACCCGAGAAAGAATAAAAAAAAATTAAAAAGATTCGCCCAGAAAATACTAAAATAAAAAGGAAAAATAAAGAGATTCATTCACACAAAAATCATTAAAAAATATTTTTAGAATATTAAAAAAAACGTCATAATGACAAAATCAAATTTGTATAACTTAGAAAATAAGAATAAAGGGAATAATAATAATAATAATAATAAAGAAATAGTTAAAAGGCTACTGAAGTGACGAGAAAAAAAAGTACAGAAACGGGATTCAAAAAACCACACCGAACGGAGTATTTTATTTTTCCAGAAAACCGAAACAAAAAATAGGGAAAAGTGCTGGTAAAACACGAAAGGTTTCTGCGAAACCGGAAACCAAAAGTGGTAAACAATCTCAGATCATACTTAAAATCAAGAAATAACCCAAACAAAACCTAAAAATCAGCGAAATCGGAGCAGCATTGAAGAAAATAAGCCTAAAAAAACCATTTCCAGAAACCGTCGGCGCTGCCGTCGACGGCCTCCTGAACCAGAGAAGAGAACCGGTACCGGAAATCAAGAGGGAAAACGGAGAAGAAACCGAAACCCTAACCCTAGAAAAACAGAGAGAAGAACTTACTCCGGTGACTGTGAGGTTTCAACGCTACTCTTTCCTTTCTCTCTCTCTTTTGGTTCGCTCTCAGTGATATCAGCTCCTAAAGGGACCGCTTAGTATTCTGGTTGAGTGTATCCTATGCAACGCAGTGCATTGGAGTTAGTATGGTCCTTCTAGTTTTTGCCGTTGATTTAGTTGATTGTTGTTGATAATGTCAAGATGGATTGTGGACCGTTCGTTTGGCTGATATTACCTTTCCTTGAGTATCGGCCTTTTTAACGGATTTTATAATAGGAAGAGATTTTGTGAATTTTGATAGGGCTTAACTTTATTTTCTTTTAAGGTAATTTATGCAGCTTTTAATATTTGGCCATTTAGGGATGCTCAATAAAGAAGAAAAAGGAAAGTGACATTAAATAGATGTTAAAATTAAAAAAAAAAAAAGTAATATTTTTTTTATATTAATTGCATATCAAGAAACAATCTTTTTTTTTTTATTTTTTATCTCACTTTACCCGTGTGTCATGTGACTCGAATTCAAGATCTTTTATTTCTAACGAAAGAAGATTATCCTTGAATTATTTAGGTTATTAGCAAAAAAGAAGAAGAAGAAAGTAATACTAAATAAATTGATACATGTACATAGTGATTCATATGTGATTTTACATAAAAGTAATTATTTATGATGTAAGAAAAGTATTTGTGAGTTAAACTTTTAAAAAAATTTAAACAAAAAAAAAACTAAAAATGATATGTTTTAAAAATAAAAATAAATTTATTTTGATTTTTTATATAATATTTTATTAAATAGACTTTTGGTTTTCTTTTGAAAAATTCATCAAAAACTAAAATATTTCAATAAATTTTCAATAAAAAGAGCTGAAAATAATATGTTTTTAAGAGTAAAAATAAAACTACTTTAATCTCTTTTATATAGTATCACGTTTTTATTATTAACATATATTGAAAAAACAAAGATTGACATTAATTTTATAAATTATTCAATTAAAAATATCTACATGGCACATATGCTAAAGTTAATGTTTTATTTTTTATTTTTTATGCAAATTAATGCATAAAATGTGCATTTAAAACATTTTTAACTTAAGTTTTTAGACAAACCCTTTGTGTCATTACCTTTCATCTTTCCTCAAACAAAACATATTAGAAATGAACTTTTGACTTTCTTTTATAACACAAATTCAATTTTTAAAAATTAGATTTACGAATAAACAAGTATCATTTTAGTGATGTTATTACTACACCTTCAATTACTAATACCACACATTTTATTTTAATTGACCATTATACTTTCTAGTTTATTAAGAAACAAAAAATATATATAATTTAAAAAAAAGTATAATATAAGAGTATAATAGACAATTACATTAAAAAGACTGTGACATTAATTATTTATGATATGAGAATAACCCCATCCATAAATTAAGTATAGTTTTTAAGTTTTGAGACTAAAACATAAATTTAATTTCCTTTAAATGCATGCTTTCAATACAAAGTGCACTTTAGGATCACAATAATCAGATAACATTAAACAAATAATCCATACCCATTCACAGATGCTAGCAAGTGAGATAGGTGAATCATACATATTTAAACAAAAAAAAAACTTTCATCAAAGTGAAAAAAAAAAGTTAGTTATTGGCTTATTGGGCCGTAAGAAGTCTAGTATTTTAAGGGCCGGGAGTCTATGGACTAACTAACTGCCTGTAGAAAAGGGCCGGAAGTCGATGGATTGTATTTTTAGCTATTGGCCTGTAAGGATAGAGTATTTCTTTGGCCCAATAGTAGAGCAATAAAAATGGGCTTTGCTCAAGACATTTATGGGTCATGATCATAGTGCTCTTTCTTGGGTCTTTAAAGTTATAGCATATTTTCAAAGATTTGTTGATATAAATAAAACGAAATTAAAATTTTTAAATAAAATTTTAAATTTTACTTTTGTAAAAAAAAAAAAAAAAACCATATCATGAGAGCTCCTTCTTATAGGGTTCGACTCAACTTGACTATATTGGTCAAAGCTGGACATTATTTCCAAATAGCAAGGTGCTAGTAAAAAAAAAAAGGTTATAGCATGTTTCATGGAATGAATGATTGTAGTTGTTTCATACATTAGCACCATGATGTTTAAATTAAAAAGGAAAACAGTATGATGTTGTTTTTCTTAAATAAAATTTTGAATTTAAGTATTGTAAATAGAAAAATAAGTATTATGAAACTTTTGCCTTATAAGTTTCAACCTACCTCAACTTTGAATAAGTTAGGACCCAATATTGTTTCCAAATAGAAGGGGATAGTAAAAAAAAATAAATTATATCATGTTCCATGGAATGAATGATTGTAGTTGTCTCATACATTAGCACCATGATGTTTATATTAAAAAGGAAAACAGTATGATGTTGTTTGAAGGTTTTGAATTTGTTACCATCATTATTTTGTTCTTTTGATTCTCCACTTAGACACAATGATAATCAACTCTTGTTGACATTCCACAAAGTTATTCCTCCACTATGAATATTTTTGTACCATCTTATTAGATCTTCCTTTATACGGTTACATGATTTTATCCCTAATTAAATCATTCAAGATCAAAGAAAGTGAATGAATTGTTTCTCGAACTTCTTAACTAAAAAAAAAGGAGTTAAAAAGTTTTGATTCAAATTCTGTTGTCCGTTTGTCCCCTTTTTGTTACTAAACCTTAGCCATAGTTAATTGCAAAAGGCAAATAGTAATTTTCAAGGACAAGTTTCTAAGAGGTGGTGATATACCAATTGTAAGATTTGAAGAATGTACTTCAAAAGTGGGATGGAGCTGTAGAGATTCCCTAAACTAATCCAACAACAAAGTAGAATTTATGGCAATTTGGTTGACAAAAAAAAAAAAAGTTTATTCACCTAAGTCACTTCCACATACCCTTGTTATTTGAATTATACTTGTACAAAAAAAGGTTCAATTGTTTAGAAACTTGCTAGGATTACTTCTTTGTAAATTTTATAATTCTAGTATGAATGATTTTTTTTTTTATGTTCGTTGCACAATGAGAAATAACATCTGTCATCTTTTATTTCACTCTACTCGCATATCATACGACTTGAATTTAAGATTTTTTATTTTTAATAAAAAAATTATCGTTAAATTATTTAGGTTGTTGATGGTATAAAAGATTTATTTTACCAAGATTAAATATATATTATTTAGTGCCAACATCCTAACCCATACAAGTCAAAATGCTAACGCAGTTACTACTAAAAAATTGAGAAAGAAAGAAGGAAATTTTCGAGTGGAATCAAAGTGTTTTTCAACTTTCAAGCACTTTGTCTTAGTGGAGTAGGAAAGAAACCAACAACAAAAGTGATATATATTAAAAAAAAATCTTATAACTTAATCATATGATTTAAGTTTTGAGGTTTGTATTAAAAAATATATATTTTAAATGTATTAAATTAATACTAAAATATAATTTTAAAATTATTTAAAAAAATTAATCTCAAAATGCATTAAAATTGCTCAAACACATCCTAAATTGTAATAAACTACAAAAAAAAAATGTTGTAAAATTTTAGGTCAATTTATAAATAATAAAAACATTTATAAAATTTATTTAATATTTTTAAT